GCAGGAGAATTGCCTGAACCCAGGAGGTGGAGGTTGCGGTGAGCCGAGATCGCGCCATTGCACTCCAGCCTGGGTAACAAGAGCGAAACTCTGTCTCAAAAAAAAAAAAAAAAAAAAAAAAGTTAAAAAAAATTAAAATAAGGCTGGGCACGGTGGCTCAAGCCTGTAATCCCAGCACTTCGGGAGGCCGAGGCAGGTGGATCACGAGGTCAAGAGATCGAGACCATCCTGGTCAACATGGTGAAACCCCGTCTCTACTAAATATACAAAAAATTAGCTGGGCATGGTGGCGCGTGCCTGTAATCCCAGCTACTCAGGAGGTTGAGGCAGGAGAATTGCCTGAACCCAGGAGGTGGAGGTTGTGGTGAGCCGAGATCGCGCCATTGCACTCCAGCCTGGGTAACAAGAGCGAAACTCCATCTCGGAAAAAATAAATAAATAAATAAATAAATAAATAAATAAATAAATAAATAAAAATAAAAAATAAAATAAAAAAAGAATCCTTCACCCTCTGGGCAGGGAACACTGCAGTCAGGTCAGGAAATGAGAGGGCAGAGGTGCAGGTTTCCCACCTAGAGGTTTGATCTTGCCTCAAATTCCGAAAATGACGAAATCATGACCTTTTTTTGAACGAGAACTGTGGAGTCAGACCATCTGAATTTGTACCTGGCTCCCCCAGCTTCTAAACTTCGTGAGCTTGGACAAATTACCTAACTTCTCTATGCCCTGTCTTTCCCAGTTATGAAATAGAAATGATAATCGTTAATTACCACTTAAGGATGTTGTCAGAATTTTAAAATACAATACTAAATATTGTGTCCAGCACATAGTAGGCATCCAGCGAATATTATTAGTTATTATGGGGTTAGATAATAATATTAAATAATAATAAAACTCCGTTCTACATGATGCTTATAGAGCAAAATAATGAACTTCTAAAATACTTCCGGGCATTGCATTAAAAATAATTTACCCATTATTTTTGAAACTTCTTATTCTAAATTACAGACTCATAGAAAGTTACAAAAAAATGGAATGATAATTTTCATTAGAAAAAAAAGACAGGCCAGGCGCGGTGGCTCACGCCTGTAATCCCAGCACTCTGGAGGCCGTGGCGGGTGGATCACAAGGTCAAGAGATTGAGACCATTGTGGTCAACATGGTGAAACCCCGTTTCTACTAAAAATACAAAACATTAGCTGGGCATGGTGGCACATGCCTGTAATCCCAGCTACTCAGGAGGCTGAGGCAGGAGAATTGCCTGAACCCAGGAGGCGAAGTTGCGGTGAGCCGAGATCGTGCCATTGCACTCCAGCCTGGGTAACAAGAGCGAAACTCCGTCTCAAAAAAAAAAAAAGAAAAAGAAAAAGAAAAAGAAGAAAAAATAAAACAGCAACAAAAGATGTTGCAAAAATAGTACAGAGAGGAGATACCTGTGTCCTAATTTCCCAGCTTCTTCCAATGTACCATCTTACAGACATACACATATAATATACATTTTTTATATGAAACTTTCCAGAAGAAACTGAAGCTGACAAGTGAAGCAACTTGCCTAAGGACAAACTCAAGGTGTAAGCTAAAGAGAAAAACTGCCTTTAACTTTCCGGCATAGAGAAGTAGCTGACAGGGAGGTGACAATCAGAAAAAGAAGCCTGCTTTCGGCCGGGCGCGGTGGCTCAAGCCTGTAATCCCAGTACTTTGGGAGGCCGAGGCGGGCGGATCACGAGGTCGAGAGATCGAGACCATCCTGGTCAACATAGTGAAACCCCGTCTCTACTAAAAATACAAAAAATCAGCTGGGCGTGGTGGCACGTGCCTGTAATCCCAGCTACTCAGGAGGCTGAGGCAGGAGAATTGCCTGAGCCCAGGAGGCAGAGGTTGCGGTGAGCTGAGATCGCGCCATTGCACTCCAGCCTGGGTAACAAGAGCGAAACTCCGTCTCAAAAAAAAAAAAAAAAAAAAAAAAAAGAAGCCTGCTTTCCTCACCCAAACCCCAGCTATGGAGGTATGACTGACAGATAAAAATGGGTATATTTAAGGTACACGAGGTGACGTTTTGATATACATGTGCAGTGTGAACGGATCACTACAATCAAACTAGCATATCCATCACTTCACCTAGTTAAGTAGTTTTGTTTTTCTTGGTATGGGGAGAACACTTAATACTACTCTCTGAGCAAACTTTAAGAATACAATACATGCCGGGCGTGGTGGCTCAAGCCTGTAATCCCAGCACTTTGGGAGGCCGAGGCAGGTGGATCACGAGGTCAAGAGATCGAGACCATCCTGGTCAACATGGTGAAACCCCGTCTCTACTAAAAATACAAAACATTCGCTGGGCATGGTGGCGCGTGCCTGTAATCCCAGCTACTCAGGAGGCTGAGGCATTTTTTTTTTTTTTTTTTTTTTTTTTTTTGAGACGGAGTTTCGCTCTTGTTACCCAGGCTGGAGTGTAATGGCGCCATCTCGGCTCACCGCAACCTCCGCCTCCTGGGTTCAGGCAATTCTCCTGCCTCAGCCTCCTGAGTAGCTGGGATTACAGGCACGCGCCACCATGCCCAGCTAATTTTTTGTATTTTTAGTAGAGACGGGGTTTCACCATGTTGACCAGGATGGTCTCGATCTCTTGACCTCGTGATCCACCCGCCTCGGCCTCCCAAAGTGCTGGGATTACAGGCTTGAGCCACCGCGCCCGGCTACAATACATTATTTACTGCTGTTGCTATGCCGTACATTAGATCTCCAGAACTTAATCATCTTACAACTGAAGATGTATATGTGTATACCCCTTTTCATCCCTCCAAAAAGCCGCCTTTTAAAGAGGACTGAGTACTTTTCACTTGCAAAAGGCTTCAGCTTTTCAGAGATGGTTACATATTTTATCACATTCAATTCCTGAAAACAGCCCTAGAGATAGCAAGACAAATAATATTATTTCAACTTGATATAGTCTAAGGTCACATGGCAGACTCAGATACAAATGTCCTTTAAAAATGTCCAGAAAAATGGTTACATTAACAGGTACCAAGTCTACCTTTTCATCCTATAATCTCAATACCATCAGGAAATAAACAAGCCAGCAAGTCGTCATCTATAAATGAACATTTTCTGGGGAGAACAGAACAACACCTGGTGTGCTGAAGATGTGGAAACTTATTTCTTTCTTAACTCTTCTGAAATGATTGAAAAATCATGTAATGAAGGAGGCAACAGACTCTTGTAAACTTATGGTTTCAGCCTGGAAGCCACAGCACAGGGACCACAGGAAAGCAAAATCGTGCTGGGTTTTAGATGCCCAAATGCCTCCAAAGACGCCTTCATACTGGAAATCATAAAAGTGAATTTGGCTCCCTCTTTAAAGCCCAAGGACCAAACTGGATTTACTGTTTGAGTGCAGGAAACTTTACCAAGATTATGAAAACAGAAAAGAATTCGAGATTAACACATACTGTACATTTCAGTACAGGTGGCAGGACAATTAGAAATCTACTTAAGCTATAGAAAATCTTCATAAATCTGGGAAGGATTTAGGTCTTGGTGTGCTTTGGTGTAACCCATCATCAGATGCATGTTGTACTCGGTCTCCGTGCATCCAGACACACCAGGTGCCGGGGAGATGATGTAAAGGGAAGAATAAAGAAGCTATTTTCTCTGATCCACCTTTTGTGTGGAGCAAACAATTAGGTGGCACTGGTGCCTGCAAGGGGAACTGAGTAAGTCTCTGAACGCTGCCCATGTTCTAAAAGTTTTATGTTTTCTTTTTAAAAGTAATTAAGAGCATTCTCATGAAATTAAAAAGTAGCTAAGCGAAAAGAAAAAAAAAGAAATTGAAAGCAAAGACGACCCTTGACCATGGCGGCTCCAGACATCTAACTGGCATATTCTCTAAAATCAAATAATTATATATTTATTCATAAACAATATATATTATTGTATATATTTTATTATATATTATGTGTGTGTATATATATATGTGTATATATATTATATATATACGTATGTGTAAGAGACAAGGTCTCATTCTGTTGCCAGACTGGAGTGCAGCTGCACTATCATGGCTCTTTGCAACCTCAAGTTCCTGTGCTCAAATGATCCTCCTGCCTCAGCCTCCTACTCAAAAGGGACTACAGGTGGGACTACAGACACATCCCCCAGTGCTCAGCTAGTTCATTTATTTTTTATTTGTAGAGATCAGGTCTTGCTATGTTAATATTTTTAACAGACCATGAATTTAGCCTACATGTAAAACCTATTCTGCTTTAGCTATGCCAAATCAAGGGCTTTATCTTATCTATAATTCTGGCCAAGCTTTGACACATTTTTTTTTTAAGTGCCAGAAAGTAGACATTTTAGGCTTTTTATTATTTTTATTATTTTTTGTTTTGTTTGTTTATTTATTTATTTATTTAAAGATGGGGTTTCACCATGATAGCCAGGCTGGTCTTGAACTCCTGACCTCAGGTGATCCACCCACCTCAGCCTCCCAAAGTGCTAGGATTACAGGTGTGAGCCACAGTGCCCAGCCCATTTTTATTATTTTTTTAGACAGAATTTTGCTCTTGTTGCCCAGGCTGGAGTGCAATGGCATGATCTCGGCTAACTGCAATCTCCGCCTCCCGGGATTCAAGCAGTTCTCCTGCCTCAGCCTCCTGAGTAGCTGGGATCACAGGTGCCCACTACCACGCCCAGCTAATTTTTTGTATATTTAGCAAAGACAGGGTTTCACCATATTAGCCAGGCTGATCTTGAACTCTGGATGTCAGATGATCCACCTGCCTCTGCCTCCCAAAGTACTGGGATTACAGACGTGAGCTACCATGCCCAGTCATATTTTAGGTTTTGAGGAGTACATGGCTTCTCTCTACCACTCAGCCATGAAGTGTCAGTGCCAAAGCACCCATAGACAATACACAAAATGAATCAGAGAGGCTGTGTTCTGGTAAAACTTTATTTATAGACAATGAAATTTAAATTTTGTATAATTTCTTTTTCTTAATTAAAAAAATATGGAAAGCTTCACGAATTTGTGTGTCACATTTGTGCAGGGGCCATGCTAAACTTCTCTGTGTCCTTCCAATTTTAGTATATGTGCTGCCGAAGCTAGCACAAAATTTTATATAATTTTTATGTGTCAATAAAGAGTACTTATCTGATTGCTTCCAACCATTTAACAATGTAAAAACCATTCTTGGCCAGGCATGGTGGCTCACGCCTGTAATCCCCACATTTTAGGAGGCCAAGGCTGGTAGATCACAAGGTCAGGAGTTCAAGACCAACCTGACCATCACAGGGAAACACCGTGTCTACTAAAAATACAAAAATTAGCCAGGCATGGTGGCAAGTGTCTGTAGTCACCGCTACTCGGGAGGCTGAGGTAGAAGAATCACCTGAACCCGGGAGGCAGAGGTTGTGGCGAGCCGAGATCACGCCACTGCACTCCAGCCTGGGCAACAGAGTGAGACTCTATCTCAAAAAAAAAAAAAAAAAAAAAAAAAAAAAACTTAGGCTGTGCAAAAACAGGTGGTGGATGGGATCTGGCCCAAGGGCTGTGATTTACTTACTCCTGATCTAGACCTACCCTGCCTTCTTAAATCTCTTCTGGAGGGATCCCATTAAGTTGGGGAAGATGGAGTTTCCCCAAGTCTGTGAGGCAGTCTGTTTTCCAACTTGCTAGGGCCTAGATCCTGTCTTCTAGATGTTCTGACTTTTTTTTTTCTTTTTTTGAGACAGAGTCTCGCTCTGTGGAGACAGGGTTTCACTATGTTGGCCAGGCTGGTCTAGAACTCCCGACCTCAGGTGATCTGCCCACCTCAGCCTCCCAAAGTGCTGAGGTTACAGGAGGGAGCCACTGCACCTGGCTAAGATGTTCTTTCTGTCACCTGTCAGGCTCTGACAGTCAGCTACCCTGTTTCAGCATCACTTGAACCCTTTTGATAGGATTCCTCTTCCGCTCAATGATTCCCGTTCCCAAGCATGGATAAAACGTAACAGAAAACACCCTTAAATTAGTTGGTTGAATTTTCACGGCATTAAAACAGTGATTGATTTTTTAAAAAGAAACAAAAAAATAAGAAAGAAGCTTTAAAATCTGGATATTGAAATGGTTTTCCAGCCCCAGCTCTCAGCAGGGCATTGGTTGCTCTGCTCTGGGTACTGCCAGCTGCATTTTGCAGAGGGTGCAGATATGTTTGCCCAGAAACAGGCTCGCAGAGGCTAATTCTGACTTCAGGAGTTGCTTTCTACTGACCAAAAGGATTGAAGAAAGAAAGTCCCCTGCCCTCTTTATCAGTGATTTCCTGTGGGTGGAATGAAAGACTGCTTTAGGGTACTTTGGGAATAGATTTTTATCTGCTTTGGCAGTCTCCCAAATGAAAGGCAGAAAACACACCTTGAATGTCAGAAAAAGGAGTTTCCTGCAGAGAGCTTTGCAAATCTTTTGTAATTCCAGTGGAGTCCTGGGGATTGTGCCCAGTGCCTTAGAGCAGAAATTTCAAACCTGCCGGGTGTGGGTGAGCACCGGCCTTCCAGGTACCTCCCAAGCCAAAAAGTCAGTATCAGGAAAGGAAGAGATGAATTTTGCCTTGTTTTTGCCTTGTCTTGGGGTGAGCCCACCAGTGAGAGGGAAACCCTAGAACAGATGCAAACAAAAGGGCTCGCGACATCCTATAGCCCAGTCCTGGAGAGTGGGCAGATAAAAACGCAAGGCCCCAAATGCACTAGTAATAGGGCCTTCCTTGACCAAGGAAGTTGCAGATTTACTGGGGGCTGCTTCTAGAGTAGCATGTACAAATTCCTGTGCCGTGGGGTGGAGCTCACGCTGTATTTCCTCTCTATCGGCAGGCTAAGGTACCGATGCCTCAGGTCCAGACCAAAAGAGGGTCGAGGCAGGGAGAAAGGAAGGTCAAGGCAGGCCCTCCTCTTATTAAGGTGAACTGAAGAACTGAAGTGCAGACCGAAGGCATGAGTCTTACAGAGAAGCAGCTAAATGCAGGCACTGGTACTGGTCTGACCAGACCTGAGCCCTTCTCTGCAAAGTTTTGCTAGGAGTTAGGGGCTTTTGTTTGTTTGACTGGCTGACTGGTTGTTGGTTAGCTGTTCCAGTGGTAGGAAATGTTCAGAGTCTCAAAAACAAGCCAAATTTCTTTCACGGTCCTTTTTCCTTGCAAAAGCCCGGCAGGCAATCAGTGGTAGGAGTTCATTATTCTGACAGGAACCAATTATCAACAGTTAGCAGAGGACAGCAAAAGCCCAGAGGGAAAGGGTCCTTTCTCCCTTGAACACTGAAGAAATGGAATTTAAGAGACAGTTTAACCTAGTAAGGGTTCCTAAATCGTTGCTAGGATGCAAAGATGAGTCCCCATGAGACACCAAATAAATATGCTTTTCATTTTTCAGAAGAGTAATCTGACACCTAGAGTTCAAGAAAGATTTACAACCATTGAGTGACAGAGCTACACTAGGATCAATAAGCAGAGAAACAGAAAAGAAAATACACTCCCTATAGTAAAATGTGAACACGAAACAGAATAGAACAGCAAAGAAGAAGAAAATGTAAGATGACAGAAGTTAGATCAAACCTATATGTTGGGACAATAAATGTGGGTATAAAAAGCTTACCCATGGGCCAGACGCAGTGACTCATGCCTGTAATCTCAGTACTTTGGGAGGCTGAGGCAGATGGATCACCTGAGGTCAGGAGTTCGAGACCAGCTTGGCCAAAATGGTGAAACCCTAGCTCTACTAAAAATACAAAAATTAGCTGGGCGTGGTAGCGCACGCCAGTAATCTCAACTACTTGGGAGGCTGAGGCAGAAGAATTGCTTGAACCCGGGAGGCAGAGGTTGCAGTGAGCCAAAATCATGCCACTGCACTTCAGCCTGGGCAACTCCGTCTCAAAACAAATGAACAACCAAAAAAACTCACCCATGAAAGAGAAAAACTCGGCCGGGCGCGGTGGCTCAAGCCTGTAATCACAGCACTTTGGGAGGCCGAGGCGGGTGGATCACGAGGTCAAGAGATCGAGACCATCCTGGTCAACATGGTGAAACCCCGTCTCTACTAAAAATACAAAAAATTAGCTGGGCATGTTGGCGCGTGCCTGTAATCCCAGCTACTCAGGAGGCTGAGGCAAGAGAATTGCTTGAACCCTGGAGGCGGAGGTTGCGGTGAGCAGAGATCGCGCCATTGCACTCCAGCCTGGGTAACAAAAGCGAAACTCCGTCTCAAAAAAAAAAAAAAAAAAAAAAAAAAAGAAAGAAAGAGAAAAACTCTCAGAATGCCTCAGACACAAACAGTTTTTCAGCATATGCTTTGTTTTCTTATTCTCTTACTATATAGTCAATTACATTAACAGATTTTCTGATGTTGAATCATCCCTTAATAACTAGGGATGTTTTGCCATGATATGTGATATTTTGATACATTACTAAACTCAACCGGATAATAATTTAGAACTGTTGAGAACCATGAAGGGTCTGAGATTTTCAGCCTGCTTGCAAGCTAACAAGTTAGGCTGCTATATAGTGTCATGCATATTGGCAAAATACTAGACTCCTGGGTCAGAGGTAAACGACTGCATAACTCACAGCATAGCAAGCGGTGTAAACATCATGTTTCTCTTGGATTCCCTTGCCCCACAAGTACCACAGGGACAAAGTGAAGGGGCCAGAATGGATGCCATACACGCAGCGAGCTTGTGCTGCAGCTGAGCAACTCCAAGCTTAGGGAGACCAAATCTTTTATAAAGAGAAGTTAACAAAGGTACTAGAGGGAAACATTATTTGTATCACACTAGATAGTAAACAAATCTGTCCTCTGCTCAAGATAGAGGTTCTATCACTATCTTTCAAGGCTGTTGACTGTACAGACATCTTCAAAAATACAGTTTGGGGTGGGAATGGTGGCTCATGCCTGTTAATTCCAGCACTTTGGGAGGCTGAGGTGGGTGGATCATCTGAGGTCAGGAGTTCGAGAGCAGCCTGACCAACATGGTGAAATACCATCTTTACTAAAAAATACAAAATTTAGCCGGGATGGTGGCAGCCACCTGTAAACACAGTTACTCCGAAGGCTGAAGCAGGAGAATCACTTGAATCCAGGAGGTGGAGGTTGAAGTGAGCCGAGATAGTGCCATTTCACTCCAGCCTGGGCGACAGAGCAAGACTCCGTCTCAAAAAAAAAGAAAGAAAATGTAGACGGCCGAGTGCAGTGGCTTATGCCTGTAATCCCAGCACTTTGGGAGGCTGAATTGGGCGGATCACCTGAGGTCAGGAGTTCGAAACCAGCCTGGCCAACATCGAGAAACCCTATCTCTAAAAAAAAAAAAAAAAAAAAAAAAAAGGAAAAAGAAAAGTAAAAAAAGAAGGAAAATGTAGTCTGGAACAAAAGGGTTTTAGTACTTCAATTTGTAAGATAGGCAGATACACAAGAGACCCACAGAGTGTCTCCCAATAGACTTTGGTATACATTGGCATGTATTTGTAAGTAAAATTTATCTATAGTTGTTTTTTTTTTTTTTTTTTTCTGAGCGCTATTCAGTTTGAGAGGTATCAGTATTTTGCTAGCTCCATAGAAAATATTAATAAATTATCATACTTGTACATGTTTAAAGAAAACATTGGGGTCTGAGCACAGTGGCTCACGCCTATAATCCCAGCACTTTGGGAGGTCAAGGCAGGCCAACCACGAGATCAGGAGATCAAGACCAACCTGGCCAACATGGTGAAACCCGATCTCTACTAAAATACAAAAACTAGCCGGGTGTGGTGGCACGGGGCTGTAGTCCCAGCTATTTGGAAGGCTGAGGCAGGAGAATCGCTTGAACCTGGGAGGCAGAGGTTGCAGTGAGCTGAGATCGTGCCACTGCACTCCAGCCTGGCAATAGAGCAAGACTCCATCTCAAAATAAAATAACATAAATAAAACATTGTATAGTCTTCAAAGCATTGTAGCACTTAAACTCATGTAATTGTCTTGGCCTAGACTTAAACTCATGTAATTGTCTTGGCCTAGTACCTTTCTCGGGCGTACATTTTTGACCACCATTTGACTTTCTTCAATGGGTATTGATCTGTTCGGAACTTCTGCCTCATCAGCGTCAGTTGTGTGT